AAGTCAGCTTGATTAAACCTGTATGTAGTTGTTCCTATTGAAAAACAGAAGATATAAGGCAGGAAAACTCATGGCCTTTTTTTGTACTGGGAGAATCACTTTGCCTGTACAAACCCTCCAGGTAGCAAGTGTACTCAGAGACCTCGCAGCAGAATCAGGACCAGATGTGCGTCATTTAACAATGAAGGAAGGCGTCCACAATGGCCCAAAGACCTTTCTCAGAGCTCCAAACGCTCCCCGGAAGCAGAGCATATTTGCCTTGGGTCCTTGATAGTAGCATCACGAACCTTTGAAAAAGAAAACTCCCTTGTGTATGAGGAGAACATGCTGTATCTTGTTCTGTGGGACAATGAGCCATGAGCATAACACACTACATTCCAAAACCCAGTGGAAGAAGCAATTGTCTCTCGGTTTAATTATAGATTCTTCATTTTCCCTTAATTGCTTGAGTCAGCACTGTTGACTCTAAGGGAGTCACGGTACACAGGTAGAGCTATTGCTGTTAAACAAGGTGTGACTATCAGGTAATGAGGGTTTTGTTTTGTTTTGTTTAAACACACAAACCCTCACGTACATATTCAAGTGAATGTGTCTATTAAAGGTGTCACACTAGTGAGCTATGTTCACATTCACTGTCTTTTCTAACCAAATATTAGGCAATGTAAAACGGCAAGTACAGGCGCTCTTATGGTGGGAAAGGGACAGTATATTTAATGTTAAAGCTCTCTCAGAAAATCTGAGGTATGTGATCCTCACAGCAATATGGGGGGCCCAGGCAGCATTTAGGTCAATAGTAACATGCTTGGAAATTCACATTAAATGACCCCCAGGGAGAGGGTTTTACCCCACATCATACACAAATATTTTTCCTGGAGGAAAAGATTCATGTCTCTTATCCATCTTCCTTGATCCCATAAATTCTAGTTAAATACCTTGCACACAAAAGGTGTTCAGTAAATATTTGTCCTACCCTATCACAATACTTATATTCATTCTTCAGAAAATAAATCATGGAGTCCATATTTTGAATGGAAATAAGATCTTTTGAGCCTAGATTTGTTATCTTTTCTTCCCAGATACTGCTTCTCCTACTGACTTGCGTGGCTAATAGCCAATGAACAGTCATTCAATTAACATTTACTGAGAAATGACTGAATACCAAGCACTGGAGAAATATCCTGGAAATTCCATGGACATTCTTGATGTTCACATAGAACCTCTGGACCAAGGATGTTGTGCAGGCTCCCACACCACCGTGATCTGATCAGCTTATTTACTTTCAAGGAACACAGACTCTCTCATGTAACCTCAAGAAAGAAAGGGGGGTTATTATAGGGACCCCTGGAAATTAAATTTGGTCATATTCTCCCAGCCCCTTTCTCTCATTGGTGCTTCTGTTTATCTTGATATGTCTGCTCCATTCTCCTTCCTCTATAAGCAGACTTCTCTGCTTCCTCATAACTTATATGATGCATGGCCGATTATGGTAGATTAGGCAGGAGAAGCTAGCTATGCTTCAGTAACAAACAACCCCTAGATCCCAGTGGCCTAAAATAGCAAAGGTGTATATTCTCGCTCTTGCTACATGTTGATGATATGTTGGTTAGGAGGAGAGGGGGCGCTCTGCTTATCACAGCCAGTTGGGAACCCAGAATGATAGAGCAGCAACAGCCTTGAAAAATGAACATAGTGAGGCAATGTGCTAACTCTTAGAGTCCACCATAAGTCACTTCTGCTCACATTTCCTTAGCCAAAGCATGTCAAATGACCACACCTAACTTAATTGGGTGAGGATGTGCAATGCTACCAAGACCCTGATTAGGGAGAGGGAGAAAGCCCAAATATTTGTGAATAACTTTCATCACCCTCATTCAAGGCATCTCTAGCCGAAGATTGTAAACCCCTTTTGTTTCAGCAGCCACAGCTAATGATTCATATTTTCCACGTCCCTTAGTTCAAACCACAGTGAGAAAGAAGCTGAGTGGCCCAGTCCATCTTTACCCAGCAGACCATAACGCTAGGTCCCTGGTTAGCCTATGGGTCTGTCCTTGAGTCATGGCCAGTCAGCTGGGGAATAGGGATATACAATACAGCACATGGCTGTCCAGCCTACCCTTCTTGATCCGATCCACGGACCAGGAGATCTGTCCAGAACAGAAGAAATTGCTGTTTGAGTTAAATCATGCTGTTTTGCTTGTCCTAGCCCTTGATGACAGAAAGGTCATGGATGGTGCAGTCCATGAAGCTGGGTTGGGTCTGACTGGCTCTCAGGCTATTCATAGGGCAGAATCTCAATAGTGGTGAAGTGGAAATGATTGAGTCCAGGGACCTGCTATGTTAACCCATCAATCTAGGGATCAATGATGCGGTACCAAGGGATTTAAACACTTGGCTCTATGCAGCTCCATTTCCATGCTCGGATACCACAGTCTTCATCCTCTGAACATAGCCCTGGGGGAGAGGGTCAGGGAGGGGAAGAAAACTGCCTGGCTTCAATGCAAACAATAACACCTGAACGTCTGAACCCAGAATTCAGTCCCTTCACCATACACCCCCAATCTACCTTTCCAGTCTCATGTCCCAGTTCACCCAAGGAAACCTACTGTCCAACCACCATCAAACATTCCCTTTTCTTTCCTTGGCTCATACAGTATCTTCCTCTCTATCTGCCACCTTTCCTCTAAAACCAGTTTAAAGACCACCACTTTTCAGGAAAGTTTATTCCGTCTGCTCCGACCTGGTCATTTCGATTTCTTCCTTCTCCGAATTCTTATACCCCTGCTCGTGCTGAGCACCTGGAGGGCATAGATGTGTCTTATCATTTGGGAATCCCAGAGCCTAGTGCCTGCCTGGTATAGAGCAGATACTCAGTAGTGGTGTGCTGGAGGAATTGTCTGTAGCACCAGTTCATTTAAGGAAACTTTGAGTTGCTCTCTTATGTTAGGCACAGTGGAGAAAAGTCAGTAAGACATGGTCCCTCCAGGAGTTTCACTAATTCAGTAGTCTCATTTTATAGATGAGAAAACTGAGGCCCAGAGAGGGGAAATGACTTGCTCTCTGCCACCCAAGAGTCCAGAATTTACTGAGCACGTTGCTATGTGCAAGACAAAATGCTTTTCATTCTTTATCATGTTTTCATCCTTGTAACGACCCTAAGAGGGAAAGAATTTTTATGCCTACTTTACAGAAGAGAAAACTGAGACTTAAGGAGATTGTAACACGGCTAAGGCTGCCCTGCAAGGAGATGGCCAGGTCAGAATTGGATCCCAGGGTCTAATTTCTGAGTCCCTACGCTTGCCCCCTACGCTGAGCTTCACGCTGAGCTTCAAGCTGAGGAGTCGCTCCCTGTGGTCCACGCATCTGTATATTGCCCACAGGCCTTGAACTTTGTCAGTGCTCCAGTGGCTGGGTTGAGATACGGTGATTAAGGATTCTGGTGAATTTCTGTACCATGCAGCCCCTATGCACACAGATCTAATCTTCTGACCATTAGGTCAGGGTATTTTTCCCTCCTGGGCACTTGGGTTGGTGGAAGAAACTTGATAAAATCCTGGAGAGGAACTTGATTGTTCTCTGAAGGATCTACAAGCTGTTTGGCCTGCCAAATCTGCTCAGATACTGTCCAGGGAATATTCGGTATCCGTGTAGTACAGGTCGTGAATTATTCTATGGGGACTGTGAACAAGACCCTCACCAATTCTGCTGCAGCCAGTCTCAGGCAGGGCCTTGAGGCAGCCCCCTTTCTTCCCTTCCCATCAAAGCTCTGAAAAGAGCAGGCTTTTCCCCATTGGCAGCTGGGAGGAGTCAGAGACTTGGGGGAAACCGTCCTGCCTTAGCAAGAGCTCACTGTACAGAGCTGGCCTGTTCCCTCCTCAGGGTTATGGCTGTGACACAGTGACTTCGCTGGCATAACATCTAGCCCACATTTTCGCAACCTGGTACCTGAGCACCTAACATGGAAAGAGGCTGATTCCATAAAATCAATGCAAGAAAAATGATTAAAATGTGAGATCCGGAGGCACCTCAGGAATCATCTACCCCCTGGATTTAAAGAGGAGGAAACTGCAGCCCCAAGGCTACTTGTCAAGGTCACACAGCTGCTGGTGATGGAGACCAAAGACCAAGTTGCCTGAGTCTAAAGTCAATATCCTTTCCTCTTAAACTCCCAACCTCGCACCCACCCACCGACACAACGCTGGCACTCTCCCCTTTGCGGAAGCACCACACACAAGCACAAGCAGAACTAAGCCAACTAGGTCCTAGGTCCCTAAAATGTTGGATTGTCCGTCCCACCCCCCCCCCCCCCCCCCGCCCCGGGGGTAAGGGCACGCAGGAGACAGATTCCCAGACATTCTGACCCGCACCGGCAGAGAAAGTCTCAGGAGCGGCCCCCAGGCCTTCCTCCTAACCATCCCGTTTTCTGCTCCAGTTGAATTTCCAGAAAGTGAGCACCCGGCTGACACCTGGCCAGCTGAGAGCTGCGGGGAAGGTCTGGGCGGGTGCAGGGAGCGCGCAGGCCCGGGCGCCGGGTGAGACGGCTGCTGGGGACCTCCGGGCCTGATGCTGTGCGCGCCCGGGTCTGGCGGCTCAGCGGGGCGACGCGCACCCACTACCTGCCCTATCCCCCTCGGCCTCCTGTGACTCAGGGCGGGCTCGGCTGGGGACCCTGGTGGCGGGGCGTCGGCCCTGGGAGCAGGGGGCGCCCCAGCCCGGACTCGGCCCCGGTGCCCTCTCCCAGTCTTGCAGGTTTGGAAATAGGGCGGCCTCGCCCGGCCGCCGCCTCGGCGGCTCCGGTCCCCATATATAGTCATATCCACCGTCAACTGGGAGGGCGGCAGGCGGCAGCGAATGGGCGAGCGGCCCCCGCGGGAGGCGCGGGGAGGGGGCAGGGGGCGGAGGGAGGAGGGGGAAAGGGGGCAGGAGGAAAAAGCTTTTCCAAAAAAGTATTGGCTGTCTTGAGGAATGCGGTCGCCCCCTTGGGAAAGTACATATCTGGGAGCAGCAGGCGGCTCTGCGCTCGCACTCCGGCTCGGCAGCCCCACCGCGCTCCCGCCTCGCCGCTCCCGCCGCAGCCCCAGGGCCCCTCACCGCCGCCACCATGGACGCCATCAAGAAGAAGATGCAAATGCTGAAGCTCGACAAGGAGAACGCCTTGGATCGAGCGGAGCAGGCAGAGGCCGATAAGAAGGCGGCTGAGGACAGGAGCAAACAGGTCTGCGCCTCCCCGGCCCTGCGTCCGCCGTGCGCCCGCGCGCTCCGCCCGCCCGGATGCCCCCGAGCCCTGGGACCCGGGCCTGGCACCCCTTCCCGGCCCCTCACCCGGAGGACTCGGGGAGCCACCCTCACTCCTGGGCGGCGAGGGACGCGCGTCTGAGAAGGGGGAGGGGAAGAGCCAGACCCAGGCTTATTCTAACTTTTCAGTCTCGTCTGAGGACTCTTATTTCCCTTCTCTGTTCCCAGAGCTCGCGAAGTCAATTCAAGTCCTAGAGACACTTGATTCTCAGGATCGGGAATCAGTTTTGGATCGAGGGTGGGGTAGGGTGGAGGGGTGAAGGAATCAAGTCCGGGAAGTGTTAGTAGTTCTTCTGGACTTTTGCCTGGGGAGAATAAAAGCTTCAACTGGGATAGAGACTGGAGGCGGGGGAAGTCATGGAGTTTTCCCTAAGAACAAAGATGGGACAGAATAGAGAGTAAGGCCAGGGAGACACCGGCGTTTTACTGCACGTCCAAGTTGTGCACTTGAGCCCGCTGGGACCTCGGCAGGAGTCTCCTCTGGGGGGAGGTGGAGGTGCAGGGGGGGGGAGGGGGGGAACCACGCTGCGATTCCAGCTCGGGGCGAGAGGAGGTTACCTAGGGACCCTTGAGCCCCAACTCGGCGGCGCCCCAAGCCCGAGGAGCCCAGCCAACCCGGCGCCCTTGTGTTGTGTGTGTGTGTCTAACACCCGGTCCGTGCCGGCCGCCCGCGCCCGCCCGCCGCTGCCCCCAGCTCGAGGAGGACATAGCAGCGATGGAGAAGCTAATGCGGGCGTCGGAGGACGAGCGGGACCGGGTGCTGGAGGAGCTGCACAAGGCGGAGGACAGCCTCCTGGCCGCCGACGAGGCCGCCGCCAAGGTACCCGGGGCGCGCGGCGCGGCGCGGCGCACGAATGGCTAACTCTGTCTCTCTCTCTCTCTCTCCCTCTCCCTCCCTGTCTTTCCCTCTCTCCCTCTGTTCCTGTCCTTCTGGTTCTGTGCACCCACACCCCTCCCCTGCGGGATCACGCTGCCTGCTGCACCCCCCCTCCCCACCTTCCCCGTCCCCACGGCCAACTCCCAGCTGGAAGATGAGCTAGTGTCGCTGCAAAAGAAACTCAAGGGCACCGAAGATGAACTGGACAAATACTCCGAGGCTCTCAAAGATGCCCAGGAGAAGCTGGAGCTGGCGGAGAAAAAGGCCACCGACGTAAGTGCACGCACACAATGCCTCCCTCACCTCCTGCCCGCGTGGCCACTGTGGGGTCACCACAGGGGTCAGAGAGCAGTGGAGGAGGGTCACCTCCTCCTGCTGGACACCTGCACACAGCTCCGCCATGGCTCAGAGCACTGGATGCTGCCTCCGACTGCTACTGCACACATTCATTTATATTTCATCCATTCCTCTCTCTCTTTTTCTCCTTCCTTCTCCCCACCCCTGGGGGTGGAGTGGGGTGGGTGAGAAGCTGGGAACATAGAGCAGCTGAAATTGAACTTTGGAGGTGAACCTTGCCTCCCTGGTGGCAGAAAACTTCTGAGGTGTCATCACCAAGGTTTGTGCAAACAGAATGCCTGGTTTTCTTCGCTCTTTCCTTTTGCCATCTCTGGTGGGTGGGAAGGCCTGGTTTCCAGTGGTGGGTCTAGTCAGGGTACAGAGGGCCTGGCCTCTAAGTGGAAGGAACAGCATGGTGCTACGTTTGCTTAGAAGACTGAGCTTGATGGTGGGGTGCAGAGACACTTGAGGCCTCCTTTCTCACTAGGGAAGTTTTAATCCAGCCCTTAAGACCTGCCTGGGAAGATGATACTTGCTGGGTCTGCAGTCTGAGGGCACCAGATCCAGAAGTAAGCTGGGAGTTATATATAGCTCAGTGCTTTATATGGTATAGTGAGCTCGCTGCCCACCCCCTTCCTGCCCGCCCCACCCCCACCTGTCAGCCTTCTGACAGCCACCACATAGTTTCAGGGGTGATGCACACACCGTGAGAGCTCTCCCCGCACTTTGTCCGATGCCCTTTGGAATCTTTTTAGCTGAAGAGCTGGCCTCTTCTGCTGAATAAGGCAAGCTAAGCATGAGATTTCCAAAGGACTGACTTCCTCTCACACTGTTGGATTCCATTCTAGAAGCTAATTAAGCCTAGAGGCCCAATTAGGAAAGAATTCCTTGGGAAGTCAGTAACAATTCCAAGAATGTATGAGCACCCAGGAAAGCTACGCCCGGAAGTTGAACTACCAAGTTCAAGGGCAGAATTTTTTGTATGAGAGTAAAATGCAAATTGCTAGACGGTCTTGGGTCTTGAAATCAGTAAAGGCTTTTTGTGGCCGGAAAGGTTTGAAGTGTCATTTCCAAGTGCGCTTTGTAAATGAGAAATCCAGACACAGGACATTTAGAATCTGACAAAAAGAAATTTTCAGTGACAATCAAGATTCCTGGAAAAGGGGGTTCAGGGAAGCACTGATTTAGCTAAAACATTTAAGTTACAAACGACCTGGCTTTAGAAAAAGAGCCAAAAAACACATATAATTCTGTGCCTGCTTTGTATAATGCAGATCAGATGTCTGCTCCGTATATGGCTAAATGGAGGATGTCTGTCTCCCCCAAATTCTCCAGCAGGACGTTTATTTAGTTTTTTCAAAAGAGCCGCTGATAGATCAAGGAGAGATATTCCTTATAAGGAAAAGAATGCAGAGAATTTGAAAATAGCCCAGTAAGACTGAAGGCAAGCGAAGGAGAAAAAAAGCTACTACAATGCTTAAGAAAAAAAGATCATAATTATTGTATTTATGGAGTGCTATCATGTCTTTATTGAAAAGTCTTGTTTAGGGAGCATTGGAATGAGGTAGGGCAGAAGTGGAAAAGAGGATATTTAAAGCCAGCTGGGGGCGGGGCCAGGAGGGGAGGGAGATTTTTGAGACTGTTTTGGTTCTTTTTTTCCCACTGGAAAACTGTCCCTAATATGGTACGCTTTTTTTTTTTTTTTTTTGTAGTGTATTGATCATCTTTCCCTTTAAGACATTTTAGGTTGTTTGAAACCTGTAGGGATGTTGAAGTTTGTGAAGAAATGCTATATTTAGAGTAATTCCTAACTAGTAAAAAGAGTCAAGATTTGAGGAGGAATAGACAGATGTCACTAGGGAAAGCGGAGGGGGGAGGGAGGTCAGCTTCCTGAGGTAGAATCATATTACATTTGAGATTAAGACATTTCACTGGCGTTACTCACCAGTGTAAAACAATTTCACATTTTTCTATTAATCTATCAGCATACTTTACAAGTTTTATTCCAGAAGTGGGCTCTTCCTAGCTTTAAAGTTATAATTCAGGTAGCACCTGGGTTTTTTAAAAAATTTTTTGTTGTCGTTCCACCTAAGTGAGGCTGAGGGGGATCAAGGTTCCATTTTCTCTCTGGCCCCCAACATCATTCCCAATAACTGTGATGTACCTGATATTTACAGTATGTAAGTCTTTATTCCCTGTAGGTCTTGGCTTCCTAAATCAGTGATTCTCAACCTTATCTAAACAGAATCACCGAGGGAAGTTTTAAAACCCCCAATCCAGGCTGCAGCCCAGGCCAATTAAGTCAGAATCTCTGGGAGTGGAACCCAGGCGTTAGCATTTGTTAAATACCCAGGTGATTCCAATGTGCAGCCAAGGCTGAGAACAGCTGTCCTAAACTCTTGTATAATGACATCAGCATGAAAATGAACTCACCTGAAACTGACTTTCCCAGGTGTTTGAAAAGCAGGACATTAAGTCACTAGTTGGCTGTTTAGAACACTTCTAAGTGTCCAGCAGTTTCCCTGGCTCCTCTCGGAGGCTCCCAGATGCTCCCAAACGCCCCCTTCCCCCACCCTCGAAGTTGGAGGCCCCTGGTGTGTAGTCCTCCTCTAGGGAGGAGTTGTAACCTCCGCCCTGACCCACCAACTGTGTGGCCAGAAAGCGAGGGGCTCCACCTACAGGACGGCCGGTGCGCGGGTTTGTGAGCGTCCGCAGAGGCTGTGAGAAAGTCCGTAGAAAACGGATCAGGAAAGCAAAGGAGGGGCGCTGTTAGGCTTTGGGGTGGGGGGTTGTCAAGCTCGATCTTTTTCTGCATTGTTCCCACCCTTAAACACATCAGGAGCTGACCGGGAGGGCCTCCTGTGAGAAAGGCGAGGAAAGAAAGCCGGGAGACAGAAGGCACTGAAAAACGCAGACCAGGGGCAGAATTGGCAGGGGATGCCTCCCAGAGATTGTGTCCACTGTGGTTTTCACCCAGCTGCAGCCAGAGGCTTTTATAGGGCTCTGTAGCCTTCCTTGGTGTGCCTTTTAAGGCATCCCAATCCAGCCCAGAATTGGTCAGATTCCAGAAGATCTCAGAGGTTGATCTAAAACCAGAGAAGGTTGTAACTAGAAGGAACCCTTGAGATGACTGTTTTTATGGAAAGTAAAGTGAGCCCCAAAGAGACTGGCAGGCCCAAGATCACACAGCTGGTTATGGGCCCCAGCCTGACTCTTAAGACCGTGCCTGCGTATTTATTAACTAAAGCTGTCATTTGAGTTCTTAACTATGTACAAGGTATTGTGCTAAGCGTTTTATATTATTTCAAAATCCTCACAGCAGCTCTATGAGGAAAGTACTACTATTAACCCCACTTTTACAGATGAAGACCAGAGGAGTCAAGTCATTTGCCCAAAGTCACACAGCCAGGAGAGAACTAGGAGCCAGTTTCTAACCTAGGAAGACAGCATTTAGGAGACTTAACCGCCGTGCAATATGTTAGTGGTTTTCACTTCGTGAATTTTGAGGGGCAGGAGGGTCCTTATGTTTAGGATCTTGTGTTCGCGGGTTCTTTATAACGAGGAACAGTCCCTTCAGGGACACATTCAGGCCCCAAACCCCTCGCTCAGCTTCCCTCCCTCCTGGGCATGGGACTCCGGGACTCCGGAGCGGCGCGCTCCGCCGCCAGGAGGCGACACCATCGCCCTTCGCAGCCAGGTCCCTTACCCCGGGTCACCTCGGAGCCGAGGAGGGGCGCTAGGAGTCGAAGTAAAATTCCTGGCGCGCTGGCCGCCCTCCCGGAAGGGCCCAGCCGGCCAGGTGCCCCGCCGCGCGCCCCCCGCGCCCAGCAGCCCTGCTGCCGCGAGCATGCGCAGTGCCTCCCGCGATTTGCGAATTCCGAGGGTCCGCGGCGCGCGCCCCGCCCCGCCCCGCCGGCTGTGCCCGCCCCCGGCGCTCGCGCACCCGCCTGCGGTTCGTCTGCGCCGCCCGGGAAGCCGCCACTTCCGGGCTCGTTTTGGGCCGCAGGGGGCGCCCCGATCGCGCGGCGCGTCCGGGGCGGGGCGCGGGCGGTCGGGAGTGCGGCAGCAGCGGCGGCGGCCGGAGCGCTGCAGCCAGCCTCACCCACCGCAGCCTGCCCGTCTGCCCGCCGGCGCCCCGCGCGATGGCGGGGAGCAGCTCGCTGGAGGCGGTGCGGAGGAAGATCCGGAGCCTGCAGGAGCAGGCGGACGCCGCGGAGGAGCGCGCGGGCAGCCTGCAGCGCGAGCTGGACTACGAGAGGAAGCTAAGGGAGACCGTAAGGGACCCACCCATCACCCACCCCCACCCCCACAGCCACCGAGGCGCCTTCTGCCCAGTGCGCCCCGCAGAGCCCTCGGGAGCCGGCCTTCCCCTGCCCCCAGCCACCCCCTCCGGGGCGCACCTGGCGCACCTGGGCCAGCTGGCGTCGGGCTCTGGGGAGGGGCCCTGCCGGTTCTCCTTAGCCCTTTCTTTCCATCTCGCTGGTCTGGAGTAAAAGGTCTGAAGGGAGGCAGGAGTGGTGTTGAGAAGGTTCTGGAAGCAGCGCTTTCCCACAAGGGGCTGTATTTCTGGGGTGTTTGCGTTCGGTCTTGGTCCCCTGGGATGTGCACTTTGCGCTGCTGGAGTTATTTACTCTGAGGGTGGGGAGGGAAGTCCCTCCTTTTGGAAATCCGTTTCTTTAGGGAGGGGCGCTGACAGGTCAAGTCTGAGGCATTGCCAGATTTGGGAGCCCGGTGGTGCTAAACTCCCCCATCCACGTTCACCCTTGGTGTCCTGGAAGCCTGAGACATTGACAATGCCAGGTTCTGAATTATATAGTAATAACTTGCCTTCCCTTTCTTAACATCCTTTCTCCCAGGTTCTCTTATACAGATAGTATTCCTTTGTTACCGAGTCTTGAAAAAAGTTGGCTAAATATCAGGGATTATTGGGTGTATTC